TCTGCTCTGTCCCAAGGACCACACAAAGGATCTGTGCAGTACTCAGTGTAAGCTCAGAGTCCCCTGCAGTGTCTCTCACCGGGTAGCCAAGGACACCTGAGTTTGCGGCATCTCCCACTGAGACAATTCATGTCTCAGCCAAACCATGAGTTCTCCCACACACCCTCAAAAATTTTTTTTTCACAGCCCCAGTTCATAAGCTCCATACATTCACTTGGTTTTAGTCTCCTGTTATTACTCCCAACCAGAGTCAGTTTTTTCTGCGTGGCTGAGGGCGGGCACAGTCCTGACATATGTCTAAAATGGTGCCTGCTCTATTGTCCGGCACACCTTTGCAACATGAGTGGAGAGAGAGAATCGTGTCCGTACCATCCCTTTTATTTTTTTCTCTCCTCTAGTTAGGCTGGTGTACTTTCCCCCACGGGGCTTCAAGCCTTGTTCCCTCTAGGCTCTTCCTGCCACTTTTCCACCAGCATCTCAGGCTACTGCAGTTTCGCCTACCTCTCTTTCCAGCACTGGTGCGGAGGAGAAAATTCTCGGCAGCTGGGCTCCCGAGCTGTGGGCACCCGTGTTCTCCACGTAGATCCACCGTGTCCCTCTAATTCTGGAAGAGTTTCCTTTGCAGTTTTTTCCCTAACTCTTCCCTGAGACTTCACTATCTCCACTTCTTTTAACTATCTTTTCCTGGACTATCCTCCGCCATCTTGGAGGCCCTCTTCACAAAATCTAGGAACTGGTAGGGGGGACTATTTTCAGAAATCAAGAATAATCAGCCTTCCTGGACTTCTGAGATGGTGAAAGACACCCTGACCATCCAGGTAGTGTCCATTGTCTGCCTCCCCAGTACTGGGCTCCAGTTTTATTCAAGTAGCCACGTCTCTAACCTGCAACCCCTGTGCCTCCCTGACCCCACTGCCAATCCCGCTAATGGTAAACCTTTTTCTTCTGGAATTTAGGCTTAAGCCATCTGCACACTTCTCAGTGACTGACCAGGAGGCACAGTGTGCCTGTGTGACCTAATTGGTTAAACAGAGAAACAAACAGGAAGGAAAGATTTTTAGATGGAAAAGAAAGTGTGTGGTCCTGATTGCTCCTGATGGACAGTGCAAACTTGAAGCTCACTCTCTTTATAGTAGAGGAGAGGGACTAATAGCAACTGGGTCCTTCATAACCTGAACTACTGGATTAACCAGTTCTAAGTCTACACTGCCTCTGGGTTTTCTGCTATATGAAATAATCAATTTCCTTATTGTGAAATAGTCACCTTCTGTATTTAAGAAGACAGTTTGAATCAGATTTTCTAGTACTTGCATCCAAAATAATCCTGACTCAGAGATGTTTGGCCTCCTGTCCATAATTATGGCAACCTAGGAAAGGAAATCAGTGAGATCCTTTGTATTTTAAAAGCTGAAAATTAAAATCTGCCAGCTGTTGTTAATGTGAGTATCCAGGTATACAAAAGGCAGGTGTACGGGTGCAAGGGGAGGGGGAAGGGACCTGTCTGCAAGGCAGAGACACAGACACCAAACTCACAGAGGCCACAGCTTTCTGGAAGAAGGGCCTGAAAGTGTTGAGCCCTAACAGCTGTGCCCTTGGATCTCCTTGTGAGAGAGACGGTGGCTGCTACCATCTCTGGGATATCTCTGTCAGCCACTAAGGAACCTTCTTCTGCCACAGTGCTGCATCCTTTGGCCAATGGAAAAGACAGATTGTCAACAGCGACACCATGTGGCTATGAGATGCAATGAAAGCAGAAAACAATACAGACCAGGTCTTGCCTTCAGGTGAGTTTTTCCTTAGAACTTTTTGGATCACTGAACTCCCTGTAAGTTTTGAAATTGATGGGCAGGAACTCTAGTTTTAGACTCTAAATGAGCTAAACTGAGAAATATATGATTATTTCTTTCTGTGGAAAAAAGAGCTGTGATCATAGTTGCACATGGTGGAACCATTTTTTGTCTATATAAAAAAGTATATAATAATTGGGTTTGAAGAGACCCAAATGAAAATCCTCCTATTTTACACACCTGCTGAAACCTAGCAATGGTTCCCCATCACTTCTTGAGTGAAGTCTCAGCTCCTGAGCACATCTCCGAAGGCCTTTCTTTCTCTGCCTCTCTGATGGTCGCAACAGAGTCCTGATTCCTGGCAGGCGCTGGCTCACTTGGCTAATCCTCCACCTGTGGCGCCAGCACACCGGGTTCTAGTCCCGGTTGGGGCGCCAGATGCTGTCCCGGTTGCTCCTCTTCCAGGCCAGCTCTCTGCTGTGGCCAGGGAGGGCAGTGGAGGATGGCTCAAGTGCTTGGGCCCTGCACTCGCATGGGAGACCAGGAGGAAGCACCTGGCTCCTGGCTTCGGACCAGCACAGTGCACCAGCTGTAGCGGCCATTTGGGGGGTGAACCAGCAGAGGGAAGAAATTTCTCTCTGTCTCTCTCTCTCTCTCACTGTCTAACTCTGTCGAAAGAAGGGAAGAAAGAAAGAAAGAAAGAAAGAGAGAGAGAGAGAGAGAGAGAAAGGAAGAAAGAAGAATCCTGATTCTTTAGGAAGCCTTTAGTAAGTTTCACTGTATCTGTCAATGCTTTGGGAGTTAGGTGTGTGGTTCTGGAGAAAGGCAGATATGCGATGTACCAAAAGGGCCCTAGGTGGATTACAAGAAAAGTAATTTTAAAAGAGTAAGTTTAAAGAGAACTTGTGAGCTAGGCATTATACTAAGGTGCTTTTGAATTGTGTACACAAGTCTTCTTTAAATACCCCACCTCCGCCGTAAAATGGCTATGGGACTCTTACTGTTAAGAATCATGATTTTAAAAAACAAAACAAAATTTTATTTATGTGTTTGAAAGGCGGAGAAACAGAGATGGTCTATTGGTTCACTCCCCGAAGATCCATGGCCAGAGTTGGGCTAGGGCAAGGCCCAGAGCCCAGAACCCAATCCAGGTCTCTCACGTTGGTGGCATGGAGATCCAACTTTTTGAGCTGTTATCTGCTGTTTCCCAGGGTGTGCATATCAGGAAACTGTGTCAGAAGCAGAGACGGGACTTGAACCTAGGCACTGTGATATGCTACGTGGGAGATGCGGGAGGCCCAAGCTGTGTCTTATCCTCTGGACCAGACACTGTACCCAGATGCATTCGTAAGAATCCCTCTAGGTTTGCAGTTTTCCACCTTCCCTTGAAGGAGTTAAACTTAAATTCAGTCATGTTGAAAATTAATATCTTATAATAACAAGCCTCCCCTTACCTTTGAGTTTTCTTCAAATCCCAGGAACTGGTTCAAAAGACTGGACGGCCGAGCCAACAAGATAAAGACCAGTGGCCAGGCCTATGGGATGCCTGTGTAAAATAGCACCAAGAACCCTGACCCTTTGCAGAACTCACTGGCTAAGTACTTGCAGGAAGAATGGACCCTATGCTAAACTTAAAAAAAAAAAAAAAAGAAAAAACTGCTTACTCGCTTAAATAGTAGCCAATTGTATGATAAGTATAAATTTAAAATATAAGCCTATCAGATGCTGTATAGCCGAACTTGTATGTTCAACTGTCTAAAAACCCTAACGACCTTACCCTAGGGGCCGCCGATCCAGCCCAGCTGCGCCTGGTGCAGATGTCCGACCAAACTTGAGTCTGAAATTAAACTCTTGCGTTTGCATGAGTGTCGGCTCCTGGTGGTCTTCACTGGTGGGAATCGGACGTTTCAGGTACAACACTTGCACATCGGAATCACCTGGGGAGCTTTACAAACTCTGGATGCCTGGGTCCCCACCTGGAGATCCTGATGTGATTGTCTGGCGGCCCCTGCATCCGGAGTTTCCCAAGCTCCCCAGGTGATTTTCTTTTTTAAAAGTCTGGCAAGGGGGCCAACGCCACGGCTCACTAGGCTAATCCTCCGCCTTGCGGCGCCAGCACAGCGGGTTCTAGTCCAGGTCGGGACGCCGGATTCTGTCCCGGTTGCCCCTCTTCCAGGCCAGCTCTCTGCTGTGGCCCGGGAGTGCAGTGGAGGATGGCCCAAGTGCTTGGGCCCTGCATCCCATGGGAGACCAGGATAAGTACCTGGCTCCTGCCATTGGATCAGCGCGGTGCGCCGACCACGGCGGCCATTGGAGGGTGAACCAACGGCAAAGGAAGACCTTTCTCTCTGTCTCTCTCTCTCACTGTCCACTCTGCCTGTCAAAAAAAAAAAAAAAAAAAAAAAAAAAAAAAAAAAGTCTGGCAAGGATGTGTCAGGAAGTCGATTGGTCACCGTGAATAAACACCATGAACAGAAGAACTCAAGACATCTCCAAATTTTGGCCCTGGGATTCCAAGGAGAATAACAGGGAGAAGGGGCAAGCCGGAACTAGTGTTTCTAGCTGGAGACCTTTCTGATGGTTCAAACACAAGCCTGAGGCTTCAGAAAGTTTACTGCAGCGCAGGAATAGCTTCCATTAAAAAAAGGGGGGGGGTGCGAAATCACACAAAAATCCCGCCACAAAGCCACGAGACACCTGGGATCCCACGGCCACACTGACTGGAAAACCAAGTGTGAGCCCTGATTGCCAGATGCTACGCAGCCCAAGACCCAGTCTCTACAGGGCCCTAGAAAACCACCGTTGTCCCTCAGCGTCCACATCTCTGCATTTTACGGAGCCCGATGTAGGGCCAGACACTTCGTGGCCACCGGGAAAACGCCCAAAGGGAGGGTGAAACGCCAGCCGCTCCGAGGCTCCCCCAGGTCCGGAGCTTCGACACGCCGGCTGCTCCCCCAGCAGGAGCTCGCGGTCCTGGCGAGGGTCCTGCGCAGTGGCCAGGTGCTCCGAGCCTCATTTTCACCTGCGGCCACATATTTGCATATCTGAAATCTCCTGGGGAACCGAGGCCCTCCGTAAGCGACAGAGCCCCAGCCAGCGAGAGGCCGTAGAGCGCGACTGAAACGTCAGCGGGCCTATGACAGCCCGCGGTGGTGGTAAGCCCCGCCCCCAGCAGCCGGAGCCAACCAGAGGGCGCGCGGCGGACCCAGCCTCCTCAAGAGGCCGGAGATAATCGCTCAGAAAATTCGGAGGCAGAGCAGAGGCCTGACCTCGACCCGCTCGGGCTCGATTGGCCAACCTCCACTGGCGTCGGTAACGGTCGCGGAGGCGGGGCCGGAGGCGGTGGAGCGGAGCCGGGCCGGGCCAGGCTGGGCCGGGCCGGGTGAGGTGAGTGGCGCTCGGGACTCGGCCTGTGGGCGCCGAGCGTTGCCGGGCGCCCCGGGTGGAGCTCCAGCAGGCTGTGTGAGGGTTTGGGGATTGGTTAAACCTGCTTCGAGCCCCGGCCCCCCAGCCTTTGTGGTCTTCGGCGTCTCCGTTTGCTCCTGTGTGCAGTCTGCTGCCTTCCAGGGCGGCTGTGGGGCTAGACGAGGCAGGCAGTGCGGAGCTCAGACTCGGACCCGGCTAGATCAGACTAGACCCTGGCCGAGTCGGCGAAGGGCGGACGGGCGCTGACCGCCGCGGCCCTCGGCGTCCCGGAGTGGGGCAGGTGTCGGCGCAGGAGGCCGGGAGCCGAAGGCGGAGGGTCCCGGGGACACACGGAGGCGCGTAGCCCGCCTTCTCCGGTTGTCGGGCGCATTCTGGATCCGGGGTGCGCAGGGGATTCTGACTTCACGTGGAGCCTCATGTGATTCTTAAAGGGTGAAAAATCCCCCGAGCTGAGGCACTTGTAACAGTAACGCTTGTAACAGACCAGTCAGCAAGGGTTTCTCATCATAATGTTTGACGCCGTGCAGCCACTGCCCGTGTTGGTTTCAGCCCTCTGCGTGCATTTGTTTTTGTTTTTACTTTGAGTATTGCCAAGCAGAGCAGGCCGCCTCCGCTCCGCTTTTTGGGCACGAGGCGGCTGATTTGGAGTTTCACTGACGGGGTTGCTTCAAAGCGGGGGAGGAGGGTGTTCTGGCCCTCCTTGTAACCTCGCCGGCGCAGGATGGTTTGGTTGAGGTGAGGTCCGGGCCCAATGGTGGTGGATTCAGTTCGTCCTTTGGAACGCTGGCCTATCTTCGGACTAGTTTGCATTTCATGGAGAACACAGACTTGGAAAGCCGTGCGTGTTCATTTGTTGGAGTGATTTGGAATACGTACTTCGGAGAAAGTTTATAGATTTTCGGTATGACTCACTTGAGAAAGAAATTACTGGCCATGATCTGTTATTTCCAGCTCTCTTCCCCCCGCCCCCCAAATGGCGAGAAAAATAAGTTTAAGGTTTGATGCATGTTAGGCTATATTATAAGGGACCATTTGACCCAAAAGATTGTTGGGAAACCTGGACAGTGCTGGAAGATACAACTGTGTTTTTGCTTTTCTGTGTTTGGCTATTTTTTTAATGGTTTTTTTTTTTTTAATTTATTTTCACTTTATTTATTTGAAAGGCAGAGAAACAGTTTTCATCAGCCGGTTCACTCCCAAATATTCGCAACACTTGGGGCTGGGAGTCAGGTACTCAGTTCAGGTGTTCTGCTTGCGTACCAGGGACCTGATACTTGAGCTAGAACCTGCTGCCTCCCAGTGTGTGTGTGCTAGCAAGAAGCTGGCATAGGTAGGAAAGCCAGCACGTGAACCTGGGCACTCTGCTGTGGGATGCAGGTATGGTAACTGCTGAGCCAAATGCCTGTCCCCTGCTTGTCTGTATGCCAAGTGCAAACCAACTCTCAGCCCCCAAACCTTACTCCTACAGCCTGCCTTTAGTTGTGTTGTGACACTGAGTAGAGCTACAGCCTCGCTTCTGCCCCAGGGAGAGTTTAGTCTCTTCTGTGACTTTCAGCGTTCTGGACTTTTCTCCTCTAACAGCCTGCAGTGGGGAAAAGGCTGCTGCAAACTATCACCACGTTTATTTCACAGACTGGTGTAGGCTGATCCTGCAAGGCCCGCACTGGTGACGGTGCTCTTGACAAGACGCACTCAAGACCAGTTTCTGTGAACATGTCTATTAACGATGAAGCATAAGCTTTTAAAGGGCAGGCAGAGGGGGCGTAGCTAATTCAGGGCAACACTATAGGATAGATCTGATATTGGCGCCACTATGCTTCTCCAATCAGCTTGAAGGTCACATAGCCTAGTAGCCTACCAGGTGGTCCTTATGGGTCTGGGGCACACCCAGGAGTTGTTTACCTATTTGACCCTTTACAAGGTCCTTCACCTGGGAGCAGGGGTCAGGGAAATGTGCCCGGGAGGCATGGTGTGCCACGCCCTCCTAACCTCCTGCTTGGGGTAGGCAGGCAGTCTTCCAGCCAGGCACAGGATCACCCACAAGGGAGAAGAGGAGGGAGGAGGCTTATGATGGTGAGCCAGGAAGGCCATCAGCGCTTACTGTGGCTGTTGGAGTTTCAGCTTAGGGCTTTCCGGCACCATGGACGCTGCGCTGGGAGTAACACAAGACCTTTCTCACTAAGAGGTTGAACTTTCCAAGAGGTTGATCCGTTAATCTTTTTGAACCCTAGATGAAGATCTAGTTTCGCACATGAGACTCACTGGCCGATCGTTTCATTAAGATCATCTTGGATGAGCAGGTGTGACGTGCAGGAGGAAAGAGCTATGGCTGAGGTATGTCTGCCGCAACCGGTGATTCTAGATGTTAGGAGGCCATGGGAAACATGGACCTGATGTGTACTAAATACTATACTAAACACATTGGGTATACTTCCTTTTGACTCCTGATAATCCTATCAGGTACATATTTTAAACTCAGGCCAAGTAACTACTTAGATGATTAGCTGTCCTGGACTCTCCTAACCCCTGTCCTGCCTCGTGCCAGGCAGTGCTCTGTTTATTAATTCCTAATCCTCACAAAACCATGTGAACTAATTACTGTATTATCCTGATTTTATGATGTGGTAATTGATGCAGAGATTATTATACTCTTGGCTATGTGGCAGAATGCATAAGTCAAACTCATGCAGTCTGGCTGCAGAGTTGTACCAGCTTTCTTTTGGTTAATATTATCTTTTTTGTTATTCAACAAAATCCTTTCAGTGTAAAATGAATTTTTATTAAAAAGTCACATGGCAAATGTATAGCATAATGAATTATGAGATGATATCACCCAGATATGCCGGAGCCCTTCCATTGCCCTATCTCATCACAACTCCTGCTTCTGATACTTGGCATACTTTCTCTCATTTATTTGAAAAGCAAAGTTGCGAGAGACAGCTTCCATCTGCTGATTCGTTCCCCAAATGGCCACAACGACCAGAGCTGGGCCAGGCCAGAGCCAGGAGACTCATTCTGGGTTGCCCTTGGCTTAATCTGCTACATTACAGCATTGGCCCCTTCTCTAACTTTTATCATTTCTCTGGGCACTTTAACAAGTTTTATCATAAATGTACAGGTTTAGATTCTAAATTTTTTTTAACTCTTTATAGGCTTTCTCTCTTCCTTTCCCTTACAATATATGAGATTAAGATCCTGGGTCATTTGGCCTGTATATTTTGTGCAGTTTGGAATCTGCTGATTGCATACACAGAAACAATTAGTATGTTCGTCTGCCTTGGGTAATTCCTGCACATTGTTAGCTGGATCCAAGACTGGCTCCGACTCAGATTCAATCCTTTTGGCATTTCTTTGCTATTTGAGACCATAAGAAGCACATAAGGTCTTACTGTTTTTCTGTCTCTGATTTCAGCAGCTATTGGTACTTGATGACACATAAATCTGTTGTAGGTTGCAAAATAGTTGTCCTAAGGCCATCAAATCTCTTACATTTGTTAGTGATAATACTAGTCTCTTCATTTATTTGGGTACCCAGCAGTATAATTCTTATAAGAAAGGCCCGATAAATGCTTGATTCTCTCCATGTATTTACCAACTTTCCAGATAATGAATTGGTTCCTTGTCTTTGGAAGACAATTCCTTTTTTTTTTTTTTTTTTTTTTTTTTTTTTGACAGGCAGAGTGGACAGTGATAGAGAAAGGTCTTCCTTTGCTGTTGGTTCACCCTCCAATGGCCACCGCGGCTGGCGCACCGCGCTGATCCGAAGACAGGAGCCAGGTGCTTCTCCTGGTCTCCTATGGGGTGCAGGGCCCAAGGACTTGGGCCATCCTCCACTGCACTCCCTGGCCACAGCAGAGAGCTGACCTGGAAGAGGGGCAACCGGGACAGAATCCGGCGCCCCGACCGGGACTAGAACCTGGGGTGCCCACGCCACAAGGTGGAGGATTAGCCTAGTGAGCCACGGTGCTGGTTCCTTTTAAAAAATCTAGTATCACTATAAACTCATGAATTTATTTCATGCTTATTATTGAGGCTCACACTGTTCCATCTTTGGCCAGTGGAAGCCTAGTCAAACCTATCCTTTTTGATTGGACCCTAGTGATTTTTTGATAGCTTCCTTGTTATATGATATCTTGAATAATTCCTGTTCCATATCTGAAATTAGCTCTTTAAGAAAGTCTGATTTCTTTTACAGGGAAATGGTATTTTGTGATCATAATCTGTACATTAAGGATCCTGAATCGATTACTGTTGTAGGCTTTTCAGTAGACAATTAAGAAAATTTTATCTATAGGTAACATATTTAAACATTTATATATAATATGTTCTCATTAGTACCTGCAATTCAGATTGGGATACAGAGCTTTTTTTTTTTTCCTTAGGATTTACTTATTTATTTGAAAGGCAGAACTATAGAGAAAGGAGAGACAGAGATCCTCCATCCACTGGTTCACTCCACAAAAGGCCACAATAGCCAGGCTGAAGCCAGGAGCCAGAAGCTTCCTCTGGGTCTCCCACATGGGTACAAGGGCCCAAGGACTTGGGCCATCTTCTGCTTTCCATGACTATCAGCAGGGAACTGGACTGGAAGTGGAACAACCAGGACTCAAACTGGTGCCCATATGGGATGCCGGCACTGCAGGTTGAGGCTTAATCTTCTATGCCACAGTGCTGGCCATGAGACACAGAGCTTTTATTTCTCTGTCATAGCTGTAATTTTTTTCCATACTGAGAATCTAGTTTTCAAGAGTAAAGGTCACAAAGAATATCCTGTGTTAACTTTATATTCTTCCATTCTTCCCTCCCTTTAAAAAAAAGTATGCCTTTTTTTTTTTCTTTTTTGACAGGCAGAGTGGACAGTGAGAGAGAGAGACAGAGAGAGAAAGGTCTTCCTTTGCCGTTGGTTCACCCTCCAATGGCCGCCGCTGCAGCCGGCGCACCGCGCTGATCCGATGGCAGAAGCCAGGATCCAGGTGCTTTTCCTGGTCTCCCATGGGGTGCAGGGCCCAAGCACCTGGGCCATCCTCCACTGCACTCCCTGGCTATAGCAGAGAGCTGGCCTGGAAGAGGGGCAACCGGGACAGAATCCGGCGCCCCAACCGGGACTAGAACCCGGTGTGCCGGCGCCGCAAGGTGGAGGATTAGCCTATTGAGCCATGGCGCCGGCTCGTTGCTTTGTTCTTTTTGCTCAGAATTTTTTTTTCTATTTAGGGTCTTTTGTGGTTATATATAAATTTTAGTATTTTTCTAGTTTTATGAAAAATGTCATTGGTACTTTGGTAGGGATTTGTGGGGAGCAACTCGGACTAGACTAAGTTACTGGAATTAAGACTTATTCTATGCATCTGCTCTCCCACAATATGGCGCTGGGAGAGGAGGAAACAGCTTCTACACAGCTGCCTCCAGTTCAACCAATAAACTGTAGGACCTGCTCCTGATTGGAGGAGAGCAGCGTACTCGGCGTGTGGGTAGCAGAGTTGGGATTGGTGGAAGAGGACTATAAAGGAGGAGAGAGACAACATGCACCAGGAACATCTATCTGAAGGAACACCTGTGCAGCCCCCGAGAGAGCCTGCCGGCGGTGTGCCGCTCCCCCGCGGAAGTGGGGAAAGTGGCTAGGGGGAACTGCCCTTCCACGGAGGTGGAAGGGTCGGTAGCCAACCCGGGAAGAACCAGCAGCAAACCCGGGGAGGGCCGAGCAGACGAAAGAACAACGCAGGGTCCTGTGTCGTTCCTCCACGAAGACGGGGAGTGACAGGGATTGCACTGGATCTATAAATCACTTAGGGTTGTATGGACATTTTAATGATACTACTTCCAATTCATGCATACAGGATGCTTTCTGTTTATGCCCTTGTCAATCTCTTTCATCCATGATTTATAATTTTCATTGTAGAAATCTTCCACTTCTTTGGTTAAGTTTATTCCTAGGTATTTTGCTTTTTTGGTAGCCAATGAAAATTGGATTGTACTCAGAATTGGAGAGGCAGACAACTCTTTCCTCTCTGCTTGCTTTAATGTGACTTTTTACTGTGATTGCTCAACTGGCTTCTCTAGATAAAGGTGACTTAGTGTGCAGATAGTTGTTTTAAATTGGTATCTCTGGGGGGAGGTAGTCACTATAGCATCTTAGTGACCTGCCTCCTTGTTCTGCCCTCTCCCTTCTATTTTAGCTTACTTTTAAATAGTAGGTTATTGTTTCAGTCTGTTTTGTTGGCATGTCAGTCTGAAGTATTTTTCTTATAGGGATATTAGTCTCTTAAAATATAAACTTCTGATAGAATTAATGCTTTGGTTTGCTCAGTTTTATATGAAAAATTAGCTTTTTTTGAGCTTTTATAATAGTTTAGAGTTCACAACGCTTTTGTAAATTGTTAGTATTCCCTCTTCTGTTTTTGTGTGGTGTTAGCAAATATGGCAGTTTGTTTTCTAAAATTTCCTGGTTCTGTTTTTCCTGTCTTTGTTCTAGACCTTCCCTTCTCTCCTTCTCTGTCTGCTCCTTTTGATTCCTTCCCCAGAAGTTTCTACCCATGATGAGCCTGGTCATGGAGCAGTAGCATATCTGTTTTGAATGTTCTTAAGGGCTCCAGCATCTTCTGTCCTTATGACAAGAGAGGGCAAAACCCCTTCTAGTTTCTCCTGCTCTTCTCATATTAGTACAGCAGTGACTATCAGTGAACTTGGGAGCTCTCTTGTCCACTCTCTCCTAAGCAGCAGATACTGCTTGCAGTTTTCTTTACTTCTGCACAGATGTTGGAACCAGGCAGTTCTTGTGGCTGTTGGTGGTTTGTCCTCACATTTTTGTTTATGGGAATAACAACTTTTGGTGTAACATTGTTTTAGGGTTTCAGCTTTGCTACCTAGTTGCTTCTGTTTTTCTTTTGATGATTTATTTGAAAGGGAGAGAGAGGGAGAGGAAAGAATTGATTTCCATTACCTTGGTTCACTTCTCCAAATGCCAGCAACAGTGGGGGCTGGGCCATCCTGAAGCCAGGAGCCAGGAATTCCATCCTGGTTTCCATTTGAGTTTCAGGGACCCAAAGGCTTATGTTGTAGATTGCTCTTTTTGCTGGATTCTTTAGAAATGTCATAGATCTTTATATTACAGCTCTTTTCTCCCTACTGGGTTCTTTGTCTTGTGACCATGAAGAATGAGGCATATTGAGACCAGGAAGAATGAGCAAAGAGGAAAGTTTATTGAGAGAAGAAAAAGCTTCTGACTTCAAGGAGGAGGCACAAAAGGGGTTGTAGATGAAAGGCTGTCTGTCTTGGCCGGTGCCGCGGCTCAATAGGCTAATCCTCCGCCTGCAGCGCCGGCACCCCGGGTTCTAGTT